CGTGGGATTTGATTTCAGCGAGGAAGGCTGGATTCCACACTGCGTATCTGGACTTTGAGGAACATGACCCTTGTACAGATGTTTTCGGGGAATTCGATCTTTACGCGTCTAGTATGGAAGAGTTGTTGGTCAAGTTGAAGGATTGGAAAGCAGGTTCTTAGCGGAGTCTTGTTGTTGTGATGATAATTTTTCACGATCTTCCTCTAAGAGCTATGGTGCATCAAAAATGTCTGGGCCGAAGCTAGGTATGCAACGTGTGAACTGAACAGATCCCAGAACGCCCCGTGGAGTCTATATCCGCAGATATGTCCACCTAGATCCATCCACCTAGATCCACACCGCTCACAATCCATGCGAATTATTTCGTTTTCCGCCCAATCCAATGCCTCAAGTAACTCACCATATCAGAACCCATTTCCCTACCGAAACCCCACATGAAACAGCGACTCGCTTTCTACCTGAAAAGACTCCTCAGCTCTTCCAACCGCTGTTTTGTAGCCTCCTCCTTGCTCTTGCGCTCCTTCGCCATGGTAAGATCAGCCAATGCCTTCTTCTTTCCCTGCAGTACTAGCATCTTTTCCTCGAAACTATTCTCCATGATGAAACGCTTGATGGTAACCTCCCTATCTTGACCCAGACGATGAACTCGATCCACAGCTTGTGCTTCAGCCGCAGGATTGAACTGCGGTTCCATCATGAAGACTTTGTTCGCTGTAGTCAAATTGAGGCCAAGACCACCGGCACCAATCGAGACTAGCATCACACGGACTTCTGGATTTTCGCGGAGTTGTTGCATGGACTTGTCACGGTTTTCGCGTGTCATACGGCCGTCAAGACGGACGAGCGGGTGGCCGGCATTCTTGAGCGCAATTTCGATGAGGTCGAGATGCGTGGTCCATGAGGAGAATACGATACTATCAAGGCGTGTTAATACGTTCTCAGAGTATCCCTACGGGACACGACGGCTTACCTCTTGATCGGCCTCTGATCGGGATGCTGCTCGCTCCAAAGGCGGAACTCGTGAAGGTCGTTGAGTAGAGCTTGCGTCTTTGTGTGCGGCCCAGTATAGCTTCCGATTTTCTTCGCCAACTTCGGATCTTTCCGAATCTGGTTTTGCTCTTCAAGATAGTTGTAGTAGTCAGTGCGCTCAAGCTTCAGTGCCGTTGGATGATTGACATCGTCACAGACGTGGCATCGCACGGAGCCGTCAGCCATGAGGTTATCTTTCCACTGGTCCTTCAACTTCTTGATATGCTTTGGGCATACTAGATGATAGCAGGTGGTCATGTAGCCGATGATGTCTTGAACGTTACCATCCTCGTCTTCATCGTCAGAGTCTGCATCTAGTAGAGACCTCTTGTCGGCGCAATACAGACAATCAGCTGCACTTGTCGATTCAAGTAGGCTGAGCATCTCGTAAGCTTGTTGACGTGTAAGCTGCGGCCTGTCGCTATCGTCTTCATCTATCTCCATAGGCTTCTCATACGTCATGCCGTCCGTGGTCTTGAGAGCTTCCTCACTGAGAAGGTCGCGACCGTGAGCGCAGATCAGACGGAGGTTGGTAATGGCGGTCAAGATACGAGCGTACGATTGTCCGCCCATCTTGTTGCCTTGTGTGACTGCAGCCACCTTGCGTTGAGTGTCTTTTTCAAACCAGTCATGCAATTGCCGCTCTTGCTTAGAGAATTGCAATTTGACGACATAGTCCAACTTCTTCGGTACTTCTCCCTTGATGATCTCCTTGGTACGACGGATAGTGACGGTGCTAACAAGCAACTGAAGCTTCGTTACAACGTTGGGATCCGCATTCTTGAAAGGACCGAGAATGTATTGGTTGAAGCCGCTGGTGTTGTCGAATGGCTTTAACTTGATGAAATTGAACAGGGCACCAAGATCCTCAAGTCGATTTTGAACAGGCGTACCAGTCACAGCCCAACGTCGCTGACCCATCATCATGCATGCTGCCTTTGATTGATTAGTCGGGTTGCGGATGGTGTGCGCTTCGTCCAAGACAATGCGGAACCAATTGATGTAGGGGAGGGCCCGCTTCCTGTCGGCCAAATCTTTGGCGATGATGTGATATGTTGTTAATACTATATCGTGATCCGCGAGCTTCTCAGGCGAGATGTTGAAACGATCTGCGCCATGGTAACGGGTCCACCTCAAGGTACTTCTACCCTGCGGGAAGTGCTCTTTGATCTGCTCCTTCCAGTTTGTCATGGTACTCAGAGGACAGACAAGGAGTGTGGCTCGACTATTTATAGTCGGTTGTATCATCGCCGGGTATGGTTTCGGAGAGGGCCTCTTTTGGCAGAAGTCCTTGGCTGCAGCAATCGAAGCATCGTCGCAGATAAGAGAAAGGATACTAAGCGTCTTTCCCAGACCCATTTCATCAGCCAGAATGCCGCCAAGGCCTGGTCTCGGCTTCTCTTCCACCTGTTCACTCGTGATGACGTGCACGTAGTACTTTCGGCCGTTATTTCGGTACTTGGCTGCCCACAATGAATCTTTGCGCTGATCGTATATCTCAGGAGGGTGTTCTTGTTCGTGATCAACCATGAAGTATAATGCTTGCTTCTGGTGTGGGTACAGCTCAGTGGTGATAAGCGATGATGGCTCTCGTGTGGGGACTTCTTCCGAGCTACTAACAACGGTATCGAAGACATCCTCGACATCGGCGCGAATCTCGTCGACACTGCGAAGAACGTATGTGTTCGTGGGAGCGCCAACAGCGTACTGATTAGGCAGCTGGAAATCGGGCTGTCCTACCTGATTCTTCTGAAATGTCTCCTTGGTCTGGGGGTTGTAGTAGTCGTGGCGTGCCAATTCGAAAATGGGTGTTTCCAAGATCAGGTTCTTGCTCTTGAGGTGCCGGCCGATATTGTCTGCTACCCTGCGCGGACAATACAGCTGCAAAGTCATACCAACAAGGGCAGATATCTGACTGCCAGGTGGACCTTCATTTGGCAATTTCCTGCGGGGTTCAGTCCACGCTATCCACTTGAGACCGCTAGTGTTGGCGCTGTCAATCAAGGGTGTAAGGCCTTGTGCCGTCTTCATGTCGACCCTGCCGAATTCTTTACCTACACCGTCAAGCACCTGGATGTCAGTTAGTATACGTTTTGCGAGAATCCTGTAAATCAAAGTAATTACCATAATGATCTGATTTCCCTTATTACCACCACCCCTGCGGAAGGATACTTTGATCCTGCTTTGACCACCATGATTGCCAGCGAACTTCTTCGGGTCGGGGAAGGGCACCTGGTGCGCCTGAATGTAGGTCTGCTTGAGTTTTCCGATACAAACATTCTCGTTGCTGTTGTCTCCAACGACTTGGATCTCGTCCTCGTCGTCACTCATGGTGAGATCAATCGCTGGTCCCTTCTGGAGTAGTGAAGCAGCTGGTTGCGCAGCCTGGTTTTGCAGCTCAAGTGCACTTCCACCGGCAAAGTTAGATCGGTTACCGTTCTTCTGAACTCGCGGATCCTCAGTTTTGACACGCTTAGCAGGCGATGATGTGCGCTCTTGGACGTTGTGTAGGCGCTCGACAAGTGAAACCTGGCCAGCAATTGTAGGGTCAGCGCGTCCGCGATCAGTGTCGTTACCGGAAGATGCAGGACGCTTGGGATTTGAAGATGACGGATTTAGAAGTGCGCGAGGGTCAAATCGGAGAGGTTGTTGTGCAGGCGCTCCATGGGTGTGATGGGTCGCGTTGTCGCCTGGCACGTGCGCGGTTAGCTCTTGGGGCCTGGGGTCAGAGTCTAAGTAAATGGAGGCAGGAGCATTTGGTAATGGATCAGAGATCGGAGAAATAACACTGGGTTCGTAAACGACCAGTTCGGATTTCTCAGAGGAGTCCGAAGCCGGACTGCCAGTGTCCATATTGCTGGGCTAGGAATAGCGAACTTGAGAGGGAAAGGCGTTGATGAATATGAGAGTATTCAACACCAGAGCAAGTACCAAGGACGAGTAGACATGACATGTAATGATGGAAAAGAAGGTGAGGCGGAGGAAAAAGATTGAGGATATACCTGTTCTACGCACCCTTCTCGGGTCAAGTAATAGGGCGGGATTCATCTTGTCCATGCCAGGCTTACAAACGAAGCGACTCGAACCTTGCAGGTAAGAGAGCTTCAGGTGAGTGAAAAATGCCCCTCAGCGTTTCCTAGCTCTTCCAACCCTTCCAACGACGTGGATGCCGAAGCGCATCTGATGGTCCAAATGCCAAGCTTTGATCCCTTTGCTCGCCACAAATTACGCGCTGTTAAAAGTTTCTTGACGTGCTCGTGGAGTCGTCACAAGTATTGCGAGTCTTTTCAAGCCTGGTTGCGATCGATTTACGGATGCGCAACTCCGTATCTCGGATGATGAGATGATGGTGTGTAGTCGCTTAGTACATACCCGGTCGTCGGGTAAGTAAAGGTAGACGTATGGGATCGCGGCACAGCGGCGGGGCAGCTTGCCAGACAACGATAATGTGCTGAGTTATGAGTTAGATGATCGAGAACCCGTTCATTTGTATCGCCGTGCGTGGATGGAATGGCGCTGCTGCCTTTCATGTTCGTTGTGGGAAGTCATCGCGTGTGGCTGAGAAGAGCCTAGCAGGAGTGTCAGATGACCCTTCGATTATTCACGGGGTTTCGGCAAAGGGCTGTTGCCCGCGATTGTCGGGGAGAACCGACGTGTATTGCACGAAAAGAGTAAAAGCAAGAAATATCATCAGCTCGCACACCAAGTATGTGTATCACTGAGTTATTAGGGTGTGGGGGTTGTTGCGCAACGTATGCAGAGGTGTGGGTGCACCAGCAAAATAGCGGAGCTGTTCCCGCTACTGCATACATGTTACTATCTGTAGATTCTTGTACAACAAAACGCCTCCCATGCTACCCAACCAGATGCTATGCTATGGGAACAGTAACCTTGCGCCTGTGATGCAAGACAGTCATCTCTCCCACGTGTTCAAGTCACGAAGAAAACACTCAAACTGAGCTACGATGTGCTCAACACCAAGTAAACACCGGATTCCTTCCCTTGACCATCTCCAACCGTTCCACAATGACCTTTTTCCTGTTTCCTTCCATATCTTCATTCGCGGCATATCCTAGATCGCCGTCATCGTCAAAGCCATAGTCATCAACGTCTCTTCTGTTCGTTAGTGAGAATCGTCTATGGTGTCGTGAGTCGCGTGTGTTCCTGCGAGGCGCATCGTAACTCATTCGCGACTGGTGCGCAGGGCGTCCATTTGAATGAGGGTTCAGGTTGCGCGAGCCCCAGTACACATCGCTCACTGTTGCTGGCGATTCAGGGCCTTTATCAGGACGTCGCACGTCGAGGGAGGAAGAGCCGCGCGTGAGATTGAAGCGATTTTCGTGCGCTGTTTCTAACGGCGGCGAGTTCATGAGCAGGTCTTGCTGGGGCTTCTGTGGTGGCGTCGATACAGCTGTGATGTCCATCTCTTCATGCTCTTCCTGTAACCGTGACTGTCTACCTGGCGTCTGTTTTCTTCGCATCTCCGCGGACGGAGCCCGCAGTGGCACAGCGATTGGTATCTCCACAATGTCATCCCACACGCATACACGCGCCCTTCTTGTAAGCTCAAGTGGTCCCAAATCAGGTGTCTTGAGCGTCTCCACTACGTTCCATGCTTGTCCCTTCATGACAGCGATCTGTTTAGCGTACATGCGCTCTTTGAAGTCGGCATCTTGCGAGAAGCACTTGCGGAGTGCTGATTGTGTATCACTCCACCATTGTTTCGAAGTGAGGAGGGGGAGGAAGTGGCGGCGAGTGGCTTCGGAGAAGGGCTGGCCGATGAGCGAGACGGGTAGGAAGAGCCAACCGAAGGGATAGCTGCGCCACTACAGTCTTGTTAGCTTGGCCGTATACAACAGAAATGCAAAAATACTCACAGCATCGGGGTGCTTCCAGGGCCACGACAAACTGTTGTCAATGGCACCGATAGTCACTGTAGGCGTTGGCCCACTCTGCATGGGTGTGTTGGACCGGCTAGTCGTGGTCATGGGCTCCCTTCGCCCGTACGGGTCTAGTCCGGACTGCTCCATCGACTGCCTCGTGTAATCGCTTGGTTGATGGTCATCGTCGTCCACATCGCCATCCATCTTGGGCGGCTCTGCGACGATGGTTGCCTGCTGTGTCTTCTGGTCGATCTTGATCATCCAGTTGTCTAGGCCTCTGTCGGTGTTTCGCATAATGTAGTCGAGAATCACCAGTTTCTCCAGTTGCTCTCTGAAGGACTGCTGTATGGCAGGCGTCCAGAAGCCCCTCCGTTGGTGTTGTGTGGATCCGTTCCCGGATACTTCGTCATCATCCTCGCCGTCTGATTGCGAGCCATTGGGTCTGCAGTCCTCAGCCCATCTTCGCTTCTTCTTGCGTGCCGCTCTATCAGCGCTGTAGCCTGTGTTGTGCTGATCTGGCCATGGGTTCTCCTTCAAGAAGATGTTCGCGTCCTTGAAGCCCTTTAAGAACACCTGGAAACTCCCAAGTTTTTCCGGGAATGGCTTCCTTTTCCTGTAGTATGCGCGCCGATCCCAGAAGTCGTAGTGAAAAGATTTGGAGGAAAGACCGACGACGTCGGTGTAGGGTACAAGGTTGGTGCGTAGCTGGGTATCGAGGACGTAGGCGGCGGCTTCGGAGATGTAGGACAGGTTGGGGATGAGACAGGCGCGACCGAAGAAGAAGGGAAAGAGGTTGCGGTGTATCCACTTGGTCCATTTGGGGTTTCTTGACGCGTAGGGCTCCTCGTCTTTGGGCTTGAAGACGCCCACGACCTTGCCCTGTGTAGTTCGAGCGAAGTAGCTGCCCGAGCTGCCTTGTGTGATCAGCAGAGGATGCACGTCCATTTCGATTGCCGTCCGAACGCTTTCCACGATGTCGTCGAATTCGAGTTTCGTCAGGCGATCAGAGGGAACGTCATAGTCGAAGGTGAGCGACTCTGCCGTCGCTGGTCGCACCCAGTCGGGCGCCTGGAAGACGGAGTGGTGGATCTCAAGCGTCTCATCTTCCGCCGAGTCTTTCTGCTTCTTCATCTTGAATTTCTGCGCAATCTCGTCGGCCCATCGCTCGAATCGCGCATTGATGGCCTTGATGTCAACGCCGGAATTGGCACGTTGCCGTCGCCCAGAAGAACTCTTCTTGTGGTTTGGCGAGTTCGCGCCGGAGCCGTTCATGCGCATATTCGAATTCCGCTGTGGCTGTATCGGGGCGTACTGCGCATTGGATAGGGGATTCTGGTGGTGTTCACCCTCGAAGTCGCTGCCAGAGTCGTCTTCCTCCTCCTCGGCCTGGGCTATGCGGGCATAGCCCGAAGTCGGCGGTCGTTTTGATTTGGGCATGGCGGAATGTGCGGAATGAAAGAACGAGAGTCGGTTGGGGTTTGCTGTTCCCGACGTCGTCTGTCGATGCCTGCGATTATGTGGAATGACGACGGAAGCTGTTGCAGGGGGTCTCAGCCGCTAGCGCCGCCGTTGTCTAGCGCCTCCACTGTGGATCACATGCAAATTGGCCAGAGCACACCAGTCCATCTGATTCTAGATCAATCAAGTTTCCTATATGCTATGGGGTATCGAATTCTATATGCAGGACCAGGGCGCTCAGAGATGCGCAAACACCTGACAGCACTAGCCCCACCTTTTAGAAGCTATCGTCAAGATCTATCTGCCGCTTCACTATACTGGGACTGTCCTCCTCCATACCACCCGTCGAATCCGTAACGTCGTGGCCGGCTGTCATGAGCAAGTCGTCCACAATGCGCTTGCTAGCTTCTCGGGCTTTTCTACATGTTAGTTTGCATCAAGGGTAGTAGGACCGAGGGAACTCACCAGGCGTCTGCATCAGCTTGCTCTGTGGGATGTGGAATTGTATCGTCTTCGGAGGGCTAAAGTCAAGATCGTCCTCCTCTTCGTCGCTGTCGTCGAAAATTGTACCGCCGGTTCGATGGATGCTCATTGGTTGCTTGCCCTTTGCAGGTGTCTGCACGCTTATGCCTGGTGTCCGCGGCGTCTTCATGGGCGAGAAGATGTCGGCTCGTAGTTGCGGCGCGGGCGAGGATGGTGGTGAAGAGTCAAAGTCCAACAATCGTGTAGCGGCACTCTTTGGTGTAGGTGCACCGCGCTGGCCGGCGCGAGGAGTGAAAGCACCCGTGGGCTTGTATTTCCTCGGACTGATGAGCGGCGTGGCTTGTACACGGTATGTCTTGTCGAGGACGCGGTGGAGCAGCGGGTCGTTGTTGGTGTGTGACTGTTTCGTGGCTGTAGGCTGCATGAACGGCGAAGACTCGAAGCCGCTCATGTCTGGTAGGGCTTGCGACTTGCCGGGTGTGACTGGTTCAAGCTTTGGCGTCTTGGTGCCGCCGATATTGGGCCTGAACTCAGACTTCAGCGCTTCATAAGGTGAAGACATGCCAGCAAACTGGGGCTCTTCCTCGTATTCACTATCTTCCTCGTCTTCGAGATTTTTGCCTTTTGTGATTGAAGGTGGAGCTCGTGGTGTGCTGTGTCCGAGCGAAGGCGAGTCGAAAGCCATGGTTGACTCGGCGTCTTCTTGTGCAGACAAGGGTCGGGGTGATGTCGTGGTCGTCCCTGTTACCGTATCCTCGTCTTCAACCGTCTCATCATATGTCTGTGATTGCTCCGTCTCCTCATGTACAGCTGATTCGTCTTGGTCAGGGGCCTCGTAACCCGAGAGCGAGACGTTTGCGCTGGCCTCGAAAAACTGTTTCCAGAACTTGGAGCCTTCCCAGACAGCTTCCGAATGCTTTCCATACTGTTCGACTATCGGGAGGATACCGGTGGTGACGATTCGGTGTGCTCGGCTGAAGTTTTGGTCAATTTCTGCCCGTGTCAGTCGTGATAGTGGGGTGTGCGGAGCTGTGTCTACCTTGCAGTGTGAGCGTGATGGACTGCTCCAGCTTCTCCAACTCCTCTGTCAGCGACAGGTTGCGCTGCGGCGCCATACTCATTCGAGACATGGTGTGGTTCGCGTCGGTGAGTTTGTTTGGGTGGTTGTTGACAGACGCGCTCCGTCGAGTTCGGTACGAAGACTCGCGAGTGCTTGCTTGGCATCCCCGAGTTCCCCGCACTTCACCCAACACCAGCTCTGGCTCCAGCCCCTGCCTCCATCGTCAACCATGCTTTTCCTAGCCTCTCGCCCAAGTAAACCTGCGGAACCGTGCCACTCGACTCGTGTGATGATCGGACCTGCACTAGGCTGACAAGCTGGAGGACGTCATTTCCGGGCCTCTTAAACCCGATCAGGATGCCTAAGTTCGCGCCGCGCGACCGACGTGATACCACGAGAGGGGTTGTGCATACACTACGCGTACTCCGCATGTCCGGGTAGCCCATGTGAGCTTCCCGGTATACGGGATGAGGAGATCTGGGTAAGTATATGGCCATATGGGTGCTGCGGGGGAAGCTTAATCGCTTCGCCATCCCCAAGGTACCGTTATTCATCTGGTCTTTGCGTCTGCCCTTCGAATTTCTATTGCGCCAGGATAGCAACCATCATGTCATTTCGTTTTCCAGCAAGGACACTCTGGCAAGCTGCCCCGAGATTCGCGAATATACCACGAGTAGCTCCCCAAACAACACGTTGGGCTCGCAGTTACGCAGTTGCATCGGATCAAAATCGGACAGCCATAGTAACAGGCTCTGCTCGTGGAATGTGAGGCTCATAAACTTCATGGCCATATGAAATGATCCTGACTAAATCACGACAGCGGCAAGGCCATTGCTCTTCGACTAGCTAACGATGGATATGATGTCTGCATCAACGACATAGAAGCCAACAAATCTGAAGCCGACGAAGTTGTGAAACAGATACAAGGCTTAGGGCGCAAGTCTTTCTCATATAGCGCCGATGTATCGAACCTGAGCCAGGTCCAGGGCCTAGTGAAAGCGTCTGTTTCAGAATTAGGACCATTAAACACCATGGTAGCGAATGCCGGTATCGCGCAAGTCAAGGCGCTGCTCGATCTTACAGAGCAGGATCTCAAGCGTATGTTCGAAGTGAATGGTCAGTCTGCCTTGCTTTTGTGTCGAGAACATCGATTGACATGTCTCTAGTATATGGCGTCTACAACTGCTATGCTACCGCAGCGAAGCAGATGATCGAACAAGGCAGTGGCGGCAAGATTCTCGGCGCAGCATCAATCGTGGCTTTCAAGCCCTTCGCCCTCTTATCTCACTACAGCGCCTCCAAGTGGGCCGTTCGTGGCCTTACTCAAGCCTTTGCTATGGAGATGGCTGAGCACAAGATCACCGTGAACGCGTATGCGCCTGGTATTGTTGGCACCGCCATGTGGGATCTCATTGATGAGAAGTTAGGTGAAAAGACAGGCGCGAAGAAGGGGGACACGATTAAGAAGTACACCAATGAGTTGATCGCATTAGGCCGAACAAGTGTGCCTGAGGATGTGAGCAGCACGGTCAGCTTCCTGTGCAGTAAGGACAGCGACTACATGACGGGGCAGACCATTGTCATTGATGGGGGTATCATCTTCACTTGAGCGTCTCGTCAGGCTACAACAGTGGCTCTACTGTCTATGTACGTTATGTTCTTCCTTGCAACTGGCGTTCAACGTGTGTTGTGATTCACCGCCAGGTTATTCATTATCCTTTCTGGTTGTTCTGCCAGCGTTTTACCACCGACTTCAGCTATATAAAGTGTCTCCTCCTCGGTCGCATTACACCCTCTTCATTCTACTATTGCAACAGCAACCTACTTTCTGAATACCAATTTATCAAAATCATCATGAGCTACTGGCCAGGCGGCAAGTTTTATGGGATACCGGATCTGGGCCCTGTAGAAGTAGAAGAAGGCTACTATGACTTCGACGATTATGGCCGGCTTGAAACAAGAAGCGGTCCCGTTCTACTGGCGGATCGTATTAATCCATTCTCAGAGCGCAGTCATAACCAACGCGCTCCTTCCGCATTTCGCACATCTACTCCACCTCCAAGACGACCTGAGCCAGCACGTGCGCAACGCGTTGCGTCCGACAACATCGACAGATCGTTGCTAGACAATTGGCAAACGAGCTTATCGACAATCGAGAACCTCTTCGCTGAAGTGCTCGAGAATCGTAATAGGGGGGATGCTCCAACATATAGGAGGAAACGAGATCAGATGGAAAGCCTGTTGGATAGCTTGAAGCGGGCGATCCATAACAGGACACCGGTAGCATGATCGCCTGGTTTGAGTTGGCTGGAGGCTCTGCTCTGAGTCTGTATTTAGTAGGATCTGATCTCTTACTTGCAGTCACAGTGTTTGATGGTCATTTGGTCACGCCGTGTCTATATTCGACCTTTCTAGGCTTCTCTTGTGCGTTCAGGGTTTCTCGGTATGAGGCTGTTAGTGTGTAGCAAACTCGGTGTACCTGACTATTTATACTTTCCACATGAACCATTCTAACCCACCAAATAAGAACACGCAAGTTCTCGCTCCACATTTGATAACAAAACATGTCATCCGCTAGGTTCACCCACTGGTTCCATGAACGATTACATCGTAACTCTTCGGATAGCAGCATAGACGACAGAGAACAGCCAGCACGTATCCTATATCGGAACCGTGATTTCCAAGCAAGTATGCGGCAACCATTCGCTATATCAAGTAGGAGACTTGCGCGTTGGTACAAAAGTTTAGGAGACATAGACACGCTAAGGGCCGCTATGGAGAACTCTTGGGACAGACAAGAAGACCGGAGAGAGAACAATCGGGAAATGCAAAGAATCATTTATCGCATGATGGTTGAGATGGAAGAAAGGGTTGAGGAGGGTCGTTAGGAACGGTGGAAGTCATATTATCAACACCTGGACAATGGCGGACCGACAACAAGGAGATGATAGCACACTGGAAGGACAATACATTTCATGAGTTGGATACATGATTTTCGTTTGTACTTTAATAACTTTATGTGCTCTTGTCACAAATCACTTGATGAAAACACGTGTCGTAGTTGCCCCATCCTCTTCGCTTTCTTCTGGCTACGTGGACAATGCAGGAGTGGCGCATCAAACACTAAGCTTTTTGAACGCTTTCGCTCCAGCGCTTTCATATAAGTAGGGAATGAGCCCAAGAATTAGAGTTGCTGGTCCACTTCATACCTCTTAAGACATTCGTTCCTATCTACTTTGGCTTCACTTAAATTTCGGCATTCACAATGTCCAGCTCTGACTACAATCGCAAAACCCTAAGCAACTACAAGCATTTTGCGGAGTTTATGCGCGACCAAGAACCTACTATGGACCGAGAGGAAGAACGCCGACGGCATGAAGACGAGGAACGATACGATGAAGAAGAATCAGTCATGGAAACCTCATTCCCAGAATCAGCGGTATCTCAAGAACATCAGGTGATCTATAGCGAGCTGCCGCTCCGTGGAGATACCTTGACACTCCCAACCCTTGTACAGCGTCAAGCCGATACCATGCATATTACTTCGACGGGTCGTCACGACCGCGAGGTGTTTGCAAACATGATCACCTACAGTTACCGTACTAGAAGTACCCCTCAGCTGAAAACAGTGACTGGCGAGCTCACGCATGTACTCAATACTCTCTACATCAGAATAAATGGCCTTGAGAAGTTGAATACTGATCTCTCGGACATGTTAGGAAATGCGCATGCTGCTTTGATTTTGGAGCGTCAAGGGGGCAGACGGCTTTCACCCTCTTCTGCGAGTACCTAGAGGCCTCAAGTGGGGGAATCTCCCCAGGAGAATTGAGTGTAAAGAAGGATTGGCAGAATAAGCATCATTACCTTATAGATATCAGAATACACCGCGATGATTACATATTCACCGTGTATCCGAACACTTTTCAAACGTTTCTTCTATCTTGGGTGTACCAAAATCTCGACATAGCTGTGTCCTGACTCCTTAGCCATGCAGTCGTGTGGTCAACTCCTTAATTGGCAGTTACAAGTGGTAGTAAGAGTGGGCAGGCCACCACTCACACGTCGTTTGCATGATATCTCACATGGTCCACTACGAACGTCCCCTATTTGCTTCAAACACCAGGAGTAAGTGGAAGTCGTTCGCTTACTGCTTGTGAAGCAAACCCCATACTATCGTCGTCTAGTGTGGTTGCTGATGAGGAGGTCTTTCAGCATAAGTATAACTCATCCAAGATCTTTACGAATTGTCTTATCGACACAATAACACTTACATTCCGGAAAGCCAACATCTCAAAGATCTCCGCAATAATGAGTCCTCGCGAGACATCAAAGAAAGCTCAAGAACAGTACCCTCCAGCACCATCCGTCGAGGTCGATGATGCTGCAGTCGAGAACGACAATACCGAGGGATTTCGTCAAGACACCATCGACGCATACTTAGCCTACGAACGAATGGCAGGGTTGCGTCTGGATAACGAGGAAGAAGAGAATACGAATGACGCCAGTCCCGATGATTCAGAATCCACTGCTGAGGGGTATGAGCACAGTGAGCGTTATGAGCTACCATCACTGCCTTCAATACAATTCCGTTCTGTAGCGGTTGGGCCACCACAGCGTCCACAGGCTCCGCGTCAGTACAGCGCAGTCCCTATACCACCGCCTCCCACCATCATCTTGAAAAACGTCTCGCACACCGCCCCAGTCATCTCGCTACCCGTGACTGAAGCCGAAGCTTGGTCTCAGTTCCTTGGAAGGGCTCCTAGAGATTTCGTCCCACGTCGTCCACATTACTGTCAACCAGGACATGCCTCCACCAATGGCTACTTTGACAGCTTGTACCCGAGAGGCGCCGTATCAGATGGCTACTCCTATAGTCGCAGTGCTGGAGGTGTAGGTCATATTACGCGTCCTCATCACACGATGCCAGCGAGGAACCGTGGACCGAACGTACGAGTTCCGATTGCTATGCCACGTGCTGTCGATAGGGATCTGGCTCTTCGAGAGGAACCAATTGAGCTATTCGAAATGTGGGCCGATACTTTTAGCAGGAGTAGAAGGATTGAGGAAGACGTAGCGACCTTGAGAGAAAGACTTCGCCTGCTGCATCAGTTTTACTATAGGCCGTAGTTTATGATGTGAACATGCGTATGTCGCGGCGTCCATTTTTCGCTTCGGCAATCCTTATAGCGTCATTTGCCAATGTGTTGCCGGCGGGCGTTCGCTCATTCGTTTGTCTTTGTCCGTTATTGACGCGTCGTCATTCACACATGTATCTGCTGTAGACCCAGGAACACTCCTTAGCTGTAATTCATTAGTATTATTACTAGTATAACATCGCTCGCCGCAGAAAACCTACTACACACTAACAATGTCTTACTACCAGAGATCCGGCGCATCACCATATTATCTTCCGCTTGATGCCCAGCCATACCAGCATCAATATAAACGAAGCACGTCCGCAAGGGCGCAAATACACACCCCACATGACTGGGTGTGTATGAGCGATAATCTTCACAACGATATGCGAGCGATGATGGAGGATATGAAGACAAGGAGGAAGCAGTGGCAAGAAGAAAGAGAGAAAATGCGCGAAGAACGACAGGGGGGAGATGCTTGAGGATGCGAGGCCATTGTGTGAGACAGTGGAGTATAACATCGGCAGTAGCTATTTGGGCCAATATGAGATACTCCGTAGAATGGCATGGAACTTCGGCAGGTGAGCCAAGTCTTCCATGTAACTTGAGATACAGTGTGAACATCGTAACGATATATGTAACAGGATCAAATCTAAAGCTTATGATTCCAGTATCTAACGGTGATAGAACAAGAGGCGGATTATGTAAGCCGATGCTGCATTGGCAGCAGAATATCATGCGCCGAGGTTTCCACATGTCGTAACCAAGTTTACTTCACGGAACATCAACATTTGGAACATATCATGATGTTGCGGGAACCGGCGATCCATTCGTATACGATGCACTGTCGGTTGACGAGCATAACTAGAGAATTGCGACCAACGTAGAGAGTACGAGGTCCATAGCGATCAGCGGTGCTAAGATGTATTACGGGTATTCGCAGAATAAGCGTGATTGGATGAGAACGCGTTGGACATATGTGCTGTTCGTCTCCAGTGGCGATATGGATCTCAGGATCTCTTGCTGTATACAGTACCAAACTGATAGGACAGTAACTAAAGCAGGTATGAGAGATCAAATGTGACGTAATCAGGTGTAATCTGGTTAGCATTAAGCAGCGGAGTGTCAATTGCGATCATTTGGAGAAGGAAAATGTCAAGAGTGAGGCGAATAGGGCAGAATCGCCGATGCGCGATTAGTATCCGAGATCATGAATCGCGGACATTTCCTCCGCATACCAAACGTTAGCTCTTCACTTGTAGTATTCGGATCGCTTAGGCGTACGTTGTGGTACATCCGGCAGTGTAACACAATAACGATAGTATCGATACCCCACCCATATGTTGAGTAACAATCCATCGGCAGATCGACAGCCGTGATAACAATTGCGTAAGTCCATCGGCAGTTTGCCTAAACGAGACCAACACGGGAAACTGTCTCCCTTACCAAAAAGAATGGTGAACGCCGCTAGCAATACGTGTTGCGTCTCGCATAGGCTTCGAATCCTCCAAAGTAATGCACAAAATCTGTCGTCCCGTGGCATCTCAGTACAGCCGGTCGTCAACGCACGCGTTCATTTTTGTCGTGGTGGACGCGGTTGCGTTGTTTGCTCAATCTTGTGAGCTGTCGGCTAGAGTCATATTACGTGGCTATGATTCCGCCTACGTCGGGGAGCCCGCGTAAACGAAGGATAGCTTCTAACAGCAGAGCACTCGCGCGCTGCTAACGCTGATCCATCATTGGTAGAACGCCACGGATTCTATGGATGTTCTAAGCCAAGGCTCACGATACGAAACGTTTGAGTGGCACTGGTGACCGTGAAGCCAACTCAACTCCCGCTGTATGGACAAATCCTGCTTCCAGCACACGTGGAGCATTCTGTGTGCTCCAGACATGCTCCAAGTGTGGTATAAAATCAGTTCTAGCTCACCCGTCCTCTTCTCGCGAATTTTCGCATATCATTCTACCTTCATCTGTTGCTTCGTTTTGTAAGATTATCGTCTCCTTTTATCGAAGTCACCTCATAGCAATGTATCAGATGGCTCCTTACAGGCGACAGAAACGAGGTTTCGGGTGGCAATATGACAACTACCCGGCTTTTGATATAGCAGCAAACTTTGGTGGTGTGGGCGGATACGGGTGGAATAGCAGCTTTGACACCCAGTACTACGACCTGCCGGGCACTGTCGAACAGGCAACACGATCGCATGTAGAGGCACAAAACGAATTTGAAAAGGCAAAGGAAAAATATGAAGAGGCCAAAAAGAAGTACGAAGAATGCGAGAAGAAGGGTATGTCGCATCCATACGAACTGCACGTAAGGCGTAGACTGATCATACCGCATATCCAGTCAAAGAAGCAGAAAAAATGCTAAGGCTTGCGAAGTATCGTGCTCAAACTTGGTGACATGGATGCAAGCGCAAGCATTTATCAAGTGGCTGCTGGCAGCACAAATGCTAGTGTAGGCGAAGATGGGCCTATCGGTGTCTAGAATTCCAAGGAGGTGTTATGAGTGCTTTTGCTTCGTTCTGTATGATGGACGTTTGGTGTACCTTGCGAGGACTCACGAAGCCAATTCCAGGCCGGTTAGGAGTGAGGATGTGCGCTGCAATCCAAGTAGAGTTTAGCTGAACGCAATCGCAATCGCCATGCAAGCCAGTCCAAACGCGAATAAAGCTTCACGAAACACTGCAGCGTGTCGTAGACAATGTCCACATAACAGCAGTTGTGATATGTAGCTGTGTACCTCCTCCGTTTGGCACGGCATGTCGTGTTGTTCTGGGTGTCATCGTGAACGATGTGTCGCGCGTTTGGATCTCCCTTTCGTTTCGTTCTTTGTTGTTTGCAGAAATCCCGTGTTGTTCAACTCAGCTCTCTGGACATATAATCACTAAATGTAGGCTCGTAGCGCAAGATACAAGCCTAACATTCCTCCCATCATAGCACCACGAAATCACTCAACATGACCGCTCATGCTGCTTCGACTGCTCGCGCGCCTCAACCTTCCAAAACCACAGCTTTATCTGATATACGACCCGCATATGATGAAGTGGAGTATGATTCTGAAGCTGAAACTCTGGTTGGGAATGAGTCTGATGATGACGATAATGCTCACCTGGCATCGGCCAATGATCAGCCTGCAGCTAGCCACGGAATTGCCGGGTGGCCTTCAACTAACGAGCCCGGCGCGCCTATTCAGAACAACATAGACGAATCGATTCGCGTACAAAAGGCAAAAGAGACAGAAGATGCAGTCGGGCGGTCTCTGTCGCTCATTGCAGGTGCAAGACGGAAGCGAGATGAGGGAAAGTCCTCACTCTTGCAGTAAGAGTGTATGGCGTCAACCCGGTGCGAATGGTAACTCCACAGAAAGTATTGGAGAGATCGCATGTGTTAGAGGCGATGGGTATGCTCATGCAGCATTGGTATGGTTGTGGAAAGCAGACGGTGAAGCGATCGTTTGCACGCTCATGCATGTATGCCAGTGACGTCACTGCGGTGCCGGCTCGGCTTGTCGTCTCGCGTCGCGTCGCGTCCTCTTGAACAGATCATTGATACACCTTATCATTATCTTCTCCGCCCCATCCTCCTCTAATTCAATCCCGCCTATGCACAATTTTAAAGCCAAACTCAACCTTTATAACTTTTGGCTGAGCTTCGTCGAGCTACACGACCAACTCAGTTCGCGTCACGCGTTCCCTAGTCAGACGGTTCCGTTGATTTGAAGTCCCCCGAAATCCACGCATTCGGATACTATCGCTCGCTGCTTTTTATCGTTTATAATTTCACAGGCTGTTGTAATACGATGATCAATGCTCACTACAAACTTACTTCTGACCATCCATGGACGTTATCCGGAGCGCTGGCGCCCGAGACGCCCAAGGACGTATGCTCGGGATTCACAAGCGAGGCGTTCTACAGCAAACTCCCCATCGTACCTGCCCGACTATTCGGCCACCACTTACTCTCTCGGCGTTACTGATTTCTCGATCTTGGCAGTGCTCGTTGCTCCCAATGATAGATGCGGGGAGTGGCTTGGCACATGCAACAACGCTATCTCGCAGCGATAAGATATACTGAAGCCTTTACCCCACCTTTCCGCGAGGTAAATCGACTACAAGCTATGGCTATGGCTTCCTTTCCGGTGATAGCCTCATGCAACGAGCATACCAAGCATTCCCAACTTTACGGCAGTCTCGGAACAATCGCCATATGTATGAACAACGCATTGCATCCAACATTGCTTGGAAACCAGCGAAGAGAAGTAGAGAGATTGCATTCTAATACACCCAAGACCAGTACGGACAAAGGATTTGAGACCAAGTCTCGGACAGAGCATAGAAAGAACGTGGTCTGTTAAACGTAGAGATGGCCGGGCTGCGCCTTTCACCGGAAGCGGCCTGGTTGAGTGGATCCTATTCCCTACAGGCCCCCTACAAGGTATGATCTCTCTTCTTATCATCTTGTAAGCCTGAGATACCATCTCTGTTCATTGTCATTGCTGTAAGTCACTCGGGGCCTATCTGGTCCGCAATGATCCCAAGAATGTATAAAGCACAGGAGGATTATTGGAAACTGCCTATGATCCCTCAGGTAAATCGTTGATGAATATGCGTTGCTCTTTCCTTACCTCAGCCGCTCTTCTCGGTACAGTCAGCTCTTCCGCTGTGCCCTTTCTTGGATATGATCGAAGAGTAGTGCGTGATTACTTCGACAAACGAATCGATAATGGAACGGCATATTCCTGCTTGGCAGAGGCTGCTACGACTACAGTAGCACCAAAGCTCAACCCATGGGCTCCCCTGACGCCGGAAGAGAATCTTGCTGTTTGGACTTTGCTCCATTCTCCGACGGCCGGCCTGAACCTTACTGATCCCAATGAGGCTGTACTAACAGACAACTACGTGTAAGTTACATATCAAATAATGAGGTCTTGCTAACAGGTACCAGGTTCTGGATAGATGCGTTACATACCAACAAGAGTGAGGTGCTACCGTACATAGACGGTGACGCAGCGATGCCTGCCAAATATGCACGTGCTATCATTTTCGAAGGCGGGAAAGCTGAGCCAGACTCCCAGGAATACATGATTGGCCCTCTTCCAGTATCTTCAGAAACCACGATAGAGAAGTTGGACTATCTTTACAATGGCGGTGCTGGTGGTTCTGTGCCTTACAACGCCCGGTATTTTGATGGCCCAAGATCAAGTGCGACGGATCCACTCATCGCATCCATCATGTCGAATATATCAGACATAACGGCTGCTCTCTTCCAAGGAGGTGTATACTACGGATCAAGTGACGAAAGGTCGAATCTCTCGTTAACCTCCGGCACGCCCCTCTCTTTCGACGGTACTAGCGCATTTCGCAACATCATGTTCCGTTTTCCAGGTCCAGCAACCTACATGACACCTTTAGACTTCTATCTTTTGATCGACTGTACTGGCACTGATCCTTCTCTCTACTCGCTGAAAGGATTCGTTACAAACGAGAAGTTTTACCCCACTATCGCAGAGTTGCGGGCTGCATTCGAGGCAGGCGAGCTTGCTATGGAATACGACCAGACTCTTGACGCAAGTTGGGCTTTAGTCGACTACAAGCCAGAGTTGGGTGTGCGAGACCTCGAAGAGCGTTTAGCACCAAGCACTCTTGAGATTGGTGGAAAGCGATACAAACTTGACAAGGAGAACCAATACGTTGAGTACATGGGTTGGTCGTTCTACATGTCGTTCTCACGAACACTTGGCATCATGTTCTATGACATCAAATTCAAGGGCGAACGCATTCTATACGAGCTGTCAATGCAAGAAGCCACTGCGCAATACGGTAAGTATTTCTTTTATCACTCATAAGATAGAAGCTGAGTACCCCAAGGTGGCAACCAGCCCAAAGCTGCTAATACAGTATACCACGATACTTACTACCAACTCGGTACTGAGATGGGAAGCTTGGTGGAAGGCTTCGACTGCCCATGGGGATCGACATTCTGGAACATCACTTACCCATCCTACAACACAACGCGAGTCAACACCAACGCAATTTGCATCTTCGAAACCGACATGAATTTTCCTCTCTCACGCCATCGTACAGGTGCATCCAACGACTACGGCTTCAGTAACCTCGGTAGCGTGAAGGGCGCTGGGTTAATCGTCCGCGCGATTGCAACTGTTGGTAATTACGACTACATGTTCGACTATTCCTTCCATATGGACGGCTCCCTTGAAGTAATTGTGCGTGCATCCGGGTATCTGCAATCTAGCTTCTACTATCCGGCACAGGCGAAGTTCGGACCGAGGATCCAACAAGCTACCCAAGGCTCACTTCACGATCACATTGTTACATACAAGGCGGATTTTGACATAGTTGGTGCTGCCAACTCACTTCAAGTGTCGGAGTTGGTAGCTGTCAACCAATCTCAGCCATGGTTCCCCGAGCTCGGCGAATTCGAACAAATGGAGATGAACGTCACATATATGGGTGAAGAGCAACAGTTCAACTGGGCTCCCAACAACCAGGCCATGTACGTCGTGTTGAACCCAAATGCTACAAATGCCTGGGGTGAGAAGCGTGGCTACCGTCTCGTACCTGGCCGCTCTGACATCCACCTCTCGACCCTCAACTCACCCTGGTCGCTTAAAAATTCCGAGTTTGCCAAGTCGCATCTTGCCGTTACACGCCAGCACGACAACGAGCCTTTCGCCAACAGTGTCCAGAACATCAACCTCCCCTTCGCACCGCAGCAAGACTTTAGCAAATTCTTTGACGGCGAATCAGTTGAAGCTGAAGATTTAGTTATCTGGTTCAACCTCGGCATGCATCATTACACTAGGAGTGAAGATGTACCTGTGACTTTGTACACGGAGGCGTATTCTAGCATCGTATTTGCGCCACAAAACTTCTTCGATAGGGCGCAAGATGGAGATTTGCTCAATCGTAGATGGATCGAGATCGATGATGATGGAAACATGACGTTTAATGCATACGGCGTGGGGCTCGATGTTTGCCCGATTGTCCTTGAGGAACCTACGGCCCTACTGGGCGGCGTTGGTGATATGTAGGACAAGCTGATTTCGAGGGCAGAAGAACACTGTTTCCTCAACACCCAGTTGTTGGCGAGAGAGTTTAATGTAAACGTTGTTGTCAGTCATAAGTCCTCTTGCTACAACAGACACCACGTATACCACATTCTATTAGGCTTTGGTAACGTCATCAATCAACGGTATGCAGAGATCTGGTGCCGGCATTGAATGAACTCTTCCATATGTCGAGAAATTCTGGCGTGATTAGCTGCCACATGTGAAAAACTTAGGCTATTATGAAAGTCCTTGAGAACATTCTTCACTATGTTGTATGTCAGCACACAGCGGCAAGTCTCTCGAGCTTGACACAGTAGAACTGGTGCTTTTC